TTATTACAATGCAAAAGCTATAATGATGCAGGTACATAAGAAATAATTTATTGGTAATGTCAATGTAATTGAACATTTCAGTCTAAATTAAAAAATTTTTTAATATTAAATTATCGCATATTAATATTTACAATAAAGATTTTTTTTTTTTTAATTTAAAAGATCGTTGTAAGATATATAATGTTATAAAAAATATTTTTTAAAATCAATTATTTATTTAACAACTTGTACACACACACATACACACGTCATTTCTATAATTATTATTATTATTATATTGATAATAAATATTATTATTATATTAATAATAAAGCTACTAATAAAATTTATTCTTTTATAAGAATAATATTAAGGTAGAACTTATATAAAATATATTTTTCTTTATTTCTTTTAAAATACAATTTTGATATTTTCTTACCTTAATAATTTGTTCTTGACTTTGAAGAAATTGGATAAGAGGAGGTATTTTTTTCCAAATGGCGACTGGAGCAAGGCAGATTCCCAATTCTATTTTTGCATTGTATTCGGGCCTCATAGATAATAAAACAAATAATGCAGTTGTTCCCATTGAGTGACCGATATAGTGTAAACTTTTCTGTTTTGTGTAATTAAGTATATAATCGATCATAGCTGGTAGGTCTTTCGTTCCCACCTCATGATAGCTAGATAATGTAAATATATTTTATTTTTTTTATCAACTTTTCAGTGCTGTAAAAATATTGATTAATTGTTACAAATTACTTAATTTAATTTTTTAATTTAATTTTTTTTAGAAAGATATGAGGACATATATGATATATCTATATTGTAGAGTATTATATCGTCATATTTTTTATTTTAAAAAATCGATTTTAATGAAAAATTTTATTTGAAACTTAGCTTTTGAATAAAGCAAAATATAAAAAATAAAAGAGTAATATTAATGTAGATAAATTATTTAAAGTAACGAAATTAATCAAAAAGAAATAAAAAATCAAAATTAAATATTTCTTTATAATAGTAATTAGTATGTGATATAAAATTTTACCTAAATTGCCAAAAATCTTTATCTCGTGGAGACATTTTTATGTGTGATCTGCAATAAGAATTTCCTCTGATATTTCCAAGCCATACATCATATCCTTCATCAGCCAATGAAAATGCTACAACACATATGATGAAGTACACAATCATAATGAAGTAAGAAATATAATTAGCTCTCTTTTTATATTATCAAATTATCTACTTATAATAAGTTAATTCGCTTAAGTCATAGTTAGAGTTACGATAATAACAAATATCATATTATGGTTAAATATAGTGATAATTGCAATTATCTTTTCCTCTCAATGTAGGAACAGAATCGTTTTATATATGTGCCGCGAAAGATTTCATATGGACTTATTGTTAGAATAAGCGGAAAGTGAAAAATACAAAAAGTTTCAGTCGAAGTTACTCTCTAGATGACAATATAATTCTTTGAATCTGATTAACATATTTAATAATCAATTTATTATGTGTTGATAATCACTTACGAAGAGCATTGCCACCACCGACGATCACTCACCAAGATCTTTGCCAGCACCAAACATTACCCAGGAATCAGATGAGCACAAGATACCATGTTGAAGAAAAACAATTTTTTTTCTTTGTCGATCCTTAGACAAAGGACTTTCTGATATTCTGTGTATTATCAAGTTATAACCATCTTCCGTTGTGACGTAATGCTCTTCGGCGGAATAACCGTATCTCTCTACTAAACCGATCTGCATAGAGATATAGAATATTAAGGATTGAAGACTATTGAATGATCATAATATATAAAATAACAAGATATTCGACTACGTAAAAAAGACAATTTAGTGAAAATTTAAGAGAGTCTGTTTTCTAACGGTTACGAAGTTTTAAATATTTTTTAATTCGGTCAGATTGAGGCGTTTATTTTATAGACAATATCATTTTACTCAATATATCTATTGTTTGGACAAAAATATTTTGATGACTGCATTGCTATATTGATTATAAAATTATTAATACAACAAGATGTTTTTTCTGTCATAAAAATTGTTTTTTCTAAATAATCTTCTAATTAAGCTATTATCTTTGAAGTGTGTCTCTAAGAAAAATATTAAAAAGTTAAATATTAATTAATAAAATATTATTATACAATTTTGCTGTACTTACAAAATCTAATATGGTTATATTGTTTACTGTTGTGACATCTTCTGACTTTCTCACTCTTACTATATCAGGATTTTTGGGAAACGCATAATTAATTAATCCTTTCCATAAAACTTCTAAGTTTTCTTTGAAATCTACTTGTCCTTCTAGTGATACTATAGTGAGCATAAATATGAAGGAAACAAGTTTCACGTTCATTCTCGTTATATTATTGGTATTCGCAATTGTAAACTATAACCTGTAAGTATATATCAACAGTATTATTTCATAATATTTTATTGTCATTGTTTGAATTTCAAGGAAATTATGTCTGTGATTCTGTCTGTGGAAATTACTAAATAGTTGCAATCAATGGTAATATGACATATAATTATAGACAGTTTATAAAGTTATTAAAATTAGAATTGGCTGATTAAAATTGATACATAAAACTTGAATTAGAATGTGACATTTTTCTAAATTTTTTATAAAGTAAGCGGATAAATTCTTTGAGTTAAGCATTATTTAAGAAAAGATATATTGCTTATCGACTATCGACTAAAGTCCATTTAGCTATGATCACTTGAATCAAACAAGATCAAGTTAATTTTTGAAAGTCAATTGTAAAATTAATTTTTTTGAATAATTATTTTATTAATTTTTATAAATATCTAAGTATAAATTTGTTTTTGTAATTCTTATTTTTTATATACATATTTTATAAAATTTCACAATTTAAGGAGAAAAATGTGATGGCAATAAATCTATATACATATATAATATTTCTTATAATAAACAGATAAGATATATATATATACAATATATATGTATATATAACCTACATATGTAACATCAATGTGCACGTGCATGCAGATGCGAATATGAGAGCGCGTACTACATTTTTACATCTTTTATTTTATTATGTTTATGAAAT